ACGCCGTTGGCATGCCAAAACCGAATCGAGGCTCCACCCCTTCCAAGACTGAGCACCACCGCGTACTCGCCTGGCCAGCTCGTCGGAAGCGTCAGCCGGTCCTTGCCTTGGTCGTGCGCCGTCAGGAAGTCGTCGGCGGAGAGCTCACGCAGCCACGCGGCGTGGGTCGCAGCCGAAGCGGCGAGGACGAGCACTTCGTCTCTCTTCGGGTCGAGAGTCTGTCTTTGCCCGCCGGAAGCGACGTCGATAAGCGACCGAGCCGCCATTCCCCCGCGAAAACAAATCGGTGGGCAAAACAAAACCCATAAGCGCACAGTGGCCGACAGGTCCGCACAGACATGTGGGGACACGGCCCCGCACCGAGCCGGAGCGTGACATGCCCGCTGCTGCGGCCCAGCACGTGCCATGCTCAGGTGGTTGAGCGTGTCACCACCTGTTCTTGCACCCACAGGCATGGTAAGTCAGTGCTGGTGCTCCAGCTTTGCCGGCGGGACCACGCGAGGAGGTGTTTGTGTGTGCCTGCCGTGGCGTTGCGGCGACTGTGCCGTTGCAGAGGAGTAACAACGCCAATCGATTTTCGAGACGCCATGTGACTGGGGAGGGCCATCTGACCGCAAGTGTTCCCATCAGCTATGAAGCTGCGCCATATGGGATTCGGCGTTCTCAAGGCTCAGCTCTGCGGCAGGCTGCGGGCCGCGAGTCGGAGCCAGCCTCTGCACCTCGTCCGCACGCGGCCTGCGCTCGGCGGGCGGGGGCGGACTGTAGTCCACGCTAGCCAGCAGCTCAGGTTGGACTTGTCTCTTCTTGACCACCGCCGTCACCGCCTCATAGCACCGGCGGTGGTGTCTTGTGCCGTTCGCCGATTTGTCGTGGTGCAGTACTGTCCCATGCGAGGCGGCGGCTCCAGCCTTCTCATACCGCGCGGCGTACTCTGGAGCCAGGTATTGCTGCAGGATGCTTGGGGGAGGCAGCCCCGCACCGCCAAACGCGCGCTCGAGCGAGACACTGTTGCCTGTCACCGCCCGTCGACATGTTCCGCGTGCGGGCAAGGGCATTCCGATCAGGAAGAGGCGAGCAAGAGTCAAGCAGGTGAGCATGCAGTTGGCACAGTGGAGGCCACGCCAGGACGCTGGCCGAAATCCGCACGCGCTTAAGAGAACGGAGACGTCCGCCGAGGGCGCTTGAACGCGGCCGCGGGTGGGAGGGGCCAAACGTACGCATCCCACCTACACCGCTCCGGCTGCACGACTTCTGCCCTCCCCTCTTCTCCTGCTCCCCTCCAGCCGCTTCTGCCCTCCCCACCCCCCCCCTCTCCCGCTCCCCTCTCCAGCCTCAGCAGCCACTTCTGCCGCACGGACCCCGCACGTACAGGCTTTTGCGCTCGACGCTTGGCCGCCGCCGGGTCACGAGCTCGACGTGCTCTTGCGCTCGCTGGAGGACCGCGCGCCGCCTCGCGCCGCGCAGAGGCGCGACGAGTGCGGGCGCTTTGTTCAAGCGGCAGCCGTGCCAGGCTTTGTTCAAGCGGCAGCCTTGCCAGGCTTTGTTCAAGCGGCAGCCTTGCCAGGCCGAATGCCGGCTATCGACGCGAGCGTGGCGCCGCAGGTGCCTCTGCAATCCCTGCCGGTCGTGCAGGAGGCTGTCCCCTTTCCGACGTCGCTCCCGCCATCGCCGCCCGAGCCGCCAGCGCCGCGGTACGGCACGGCCGTCGGCTTCCTCGCGAGGGGGCCGGGGATGGAGCCCGTCCTCTCGCTCAGCCTCGTGGTCGGCGCGGTCGGCGCCGCCGGAGCCGCATTGTCCGCGCACCAAAGCGAGATGGCGTCCATCTTCCCCGTCTTCTTTGGCGCGGTGTGCCTCAGCTTGGCCGCCTTCTCCGTGTCCAACGCGCTGCTCTGCGGCGACGAATTGGCTCGCGCGTGGGCGTTCGTGATCCCGCTTCACCCTCTTCCGCTGACGGCGCTACTGTGGCTCGTCCCCGCGGACGATCTTCTGCGCGCCAAGGAGAGCATGGACAGCTTTCGTGTGCCCGGGACTGTATTAGTTGGGGCAATCGGGGCGGTGACCGCCACCATGCCGCGCCCCCTTCGCTGGAAGTGCATGGTGGCGGCCGGCTTCCTTCTGTCGACTGCCAGCAATTTCGGTGTGGCCACGTACCTACTCGACGAGCGGCTCTCCTTCATTTACGAGATGTTCCCCTACCACCTCTCGACCCTGGGCAGCCTCGCCCTCACCCTCCTCTGCCAGAAGGTCATCAAGGAGTTCATCGGGCAGCAGATCATGGTGCGTGCTGCCCCCAAGCCACTGACGATGCTGCCTTGGGTGAGCGTCAACTTCGAGGACGGTGGCGTCAACGAGCGCGTCACCAGAGCCTGCCTGGCGGGCGCATTCGCGTGCATTTGTCTCCTCGTCGTGTCCCACCACCTCCTCCTCTTCCGGGAGCAGAGGGAGGAGTGGGGCATGCGACGTGATGCGGCCGACGCGATGCCGACCGGCAGCCATGGCGGCGGCCGTGGTGGCGGCATGGTCCCGCAGGTGGCGACCCTCTTTGCCTTCTACACGCTCGGGCTGTGCGTGCTGGCCGCGGCCTTGCCGACGAGCGCCGACCTGCGGCGTGGTCGGCAGTTTCTGCTCGTCGTCACCGTCCTCATGCTCACCTCCGCCGTCGAGACCGTGCGCAACTTGTGGCCGCGGGTGGCGGCGCTCCCGGATGAGGCGAGCGCCCCCTACCACCACGCGCTGCTGGCAGGCCGCGTGCTGCTCTGGCTGGCGGCTGTCGTCGGCACCGCTTCCGGCGCCGCCTGCCGTTGGCGCTTCGTGAAGCTCGTGCCCTGTGCCGATGCCACGCTCGGGCTGGTGATGCTCCTCGGCATCTTCCTCACACATGCGCGGGCGACGTCGTTCCGCGACGCCTTGCACATGCCCGTGGCATCCTCGTGCAGCACCGGCTTCTGCCACGCCGCTGGCGACGCGTCCTTTGGCTGGGTGCTCGCGGTGTGCGCGACCAACGTTGCATTGCTGCTGATGCTCGGCGTGAGCCTCTCGCCTGCGAGCCGTGCAGGGCTCGCGGCGAGGGCCAAGCATAGTCTGAGGGTTAGGTTTTTGGAGCTTCGGGTGCTTTTACGCTTTTGATCGGGTCAGGGGAGAGTGCGGCTTTTACCACTTGGTCGTCTTGTAGCGCTACAAGTTTGTAAGGACGCGTCCCTCCACAACACACTTTCGCGCGTGGGCAACGGTGATAACGCCGTCGCGTCACCGACCGCTCGTGCTTGCGTATGATACCCGCAACCGAACACCCCTCTCGTCGGGTCCGACGTGCGCGACGGTGCAGCGTCTCGCGTCCGCCACTCCGCCCGCGCCCGTCACGCCGCATCGTTGTCCACCTACACCGCTCCGGCTGCAGCCTCGCCAAGTGCCTTCACACGCGCTGGGTCAGGTGCAGCAGCAGCCAGTGCGCAGCAGCAGCAGCCAGTGCAGCAGCAGCAGCCAGTGCAGCAGCGAGTGATCACGCTTGCACAAGCGGTGGGCGGTCGTCATTTCACTTTGGCTAAACCCGAGGCCCCGCGTCAACCCGGCTGCACGAAAGCACAGTGCGGCGCGGTGCAATCAGTGGAGGCAAAATCGGCTCAAAAAAACAACGCCAATGCTGCCCACTGGCTGCGCAGATAGCACTGGCTCGTTATAGCGAGGCGACCGAGCGCGAGAGGTTGGTGCAGAGCGTGCAATGCAGGAGATCCACTCTCGCGCTACAATGCTAGCGCGGGAGGCGAGTTCGCGGGAACTGACAGCTGGTCTGACAGAGGCACCTTTGACAGTGCCTGACAGCTGCCCGACAGACCGACAGATCACCTGACAGCACCTGACGACAGCCTGACAGCCAGGGCTCAGCGGCGAGGTCGAAGACCCACGCCGAGCTTCGCCGAGCCTGGCGGGCCAGCACGCACGCCCGCGGCCGCAGGCAAGCAAGGCGAGCTTGCTGGCGTCTTTGGCAAGCGCTCACATGCCAAAAGGCACCTCACAGCGCGCGAGACGTGACCAAAGCTGCAAGTCTCGGCGCCACGAGAGCAGCCGGTCGACGTCGGCACCAAGCGCGCGGCCGCCGGGCGCCTCCGAACCGACAGGGGCGCCGCGGCAGTAGAGAGCACTCCACCGCCATACCGTTTTTATGGAGGGAGTCCTCATTACAGGAGTATGTATGTATGTAGAACAGGAGTGATCCTCGCGGCCGACCTCCTACCCTACATGAAGCTGGAACCCTGCCCCGTGCGAGAGCGATTTCCAGCTGTACACATATGCTCGCGGGCACCTGGATCACCCTCCTCTCTCTGTCCGGGGTCGGCGCCGCCGCCTCCCGTAGAGCTGCGTCCCCCAGCAGCTTGGCCTTCCTCGACCTTGACGAGTTTGACCCGGTTGCGGCGGTCAAGGGCATCCCCGGCGCCGTCAGGGACAACTTGCGGATCTTCCGGGCGGGCACGGGGGCCATGTGGCGCAATCGCAAGGCAGCGTCGGTGGTGCGCAAGCGGGTCAAGCAGGGCGGGGCCGCGGCCAGCTACTCGGAGCTCCTCCTCCTGCGCAAGTCTGGCGACGACGCGCAAAAGCTGCTACAGGCGGGCGTTGTCTACCTGGCGGTGCCAGAGCTGCTGCCGGCGATGCTCTACTTTTTCCCGCGCTCACTGCCCTCCACCTTCGAGACCGACCAGCGCCGCGCGCGGCGGTACGAGACCATCGGCCGCCTGCGCTCCAAGGCAGTGCTGCAGCTGCTCACGACGCTCGAGGTTGCCTGCGCCTAGAGCCTAGAGAAGCGGAAGACCCGTGTTCTTGGTACTCTAACGGGGGCCCGAGAGGACACGTATTCAGCTGCACTCGACCGTGCCCCGCTGTAGTCAGTACTCGTACCCCCCTCGTCCTCACACGGTGCCGCAAGTACACTGCACCAGACCCTGTCGGGGCCGCTCCCTGGCCTCTCGCTCGCCGCGGCTCGCGCCTCGTGCGGCGAGGCGGTCGACGCCGCCTCGCTCTACTCGCTTCTCCGCTCGGTCGGCCTCGAGTACGGCCCTCCCGCCCCGACGCTCGCGTGAGCACGTTGCATTTCGGAAGAGCCGCATTGCGGAGAACAAGGTCCACCGTCTGCACCGCGCAGGAGGACGCGGCGACGAAGAAGGGGAAGAAGGGCGCCCGCGCGGCGGCGAGGCTCGAGACGGCGAAGGAGCTGCTGCGCGCCGGCCCGCCACCCCGCGCGGTGGGCGCTCTCGCCCCCTACCTCCCCTCCGCTGACGACGACGCCAAGCAGCTGCAGCGCTCGCCGCTCAAGCGCCTCGAGGGCGCGGCCCTCAAGGCGAGAGATTGCCCGAGATTCCTCGAGATTCCTCGAGATCACTCGAGGGCGCGGCCCTCAAGGCGAGAGGCCGAGGCACTCCCCCTGACACTCTGTGCGCCTGCCCATCCCGTGCCGTCTAGGCGGGCTGCGGCGCCATCGGCCTCTCAGGGCCCTTGCCAGGGTTCGTGCGCCGCTCGGCGCTGCGCAAGCACCTGCAGCATGTAGCGGCAGAGGACGATGTCCTCGCCGCCGCGCTCGGACGCATGTCGCGCGACGAGCTCCTGGAGGCGCGCAGCAGCAGCAGCAGCCGTAGCAGCAGCAGCAGCCGTAGCAGTAGCAGCAGCCGCAGCCGCAGCCGTAGCAGCAGCAGCAGCAGCAGCAGCAGCCGTAGCAGTAGCAGCAGCCGCAGCCGCAGCCGCAGCCGTAGCAGCAGCAGCAGCCGTAGCAGCAGCAGCAGCAGCAGCAGCAGCAGCAGCAGCAGCAGCAGCAGCAGCAGCAGCAGCAGCAGCAGCAGCAGCAGCAGCAGCAGCAGCAGCAGCAGCAGCAGCAGCAGCAGCGGCAGCGGCAGCAGCAGCACCCGCCCCTCGCACCCACACCCACACCACTCCACTCCACCGCCACCGCCTCCTCCTCCTCCCTCGCCGCCGCCGCCACTGCCCCCGCCGCCACTGCCCCCCCCCCCCCCCCCCCCAAAAAAAAAAAAAAAAAAAATTTTCATAAAAAGGTTTTTTTTTAATGCGAAATTTTGCGGCCGGGGGCTTTAAGGGGGGGGGGCGGGGGGGAGATTGCCCCGGGGTTTTCACTCGTCCGCACAACGGCGGCGGCGGGCATCGCTGATGCCGGCGGCCCTAGAAGCGGAAGACGCGTCACTCTCGTCCCTCCAAGTATCGCTCGGGGGGGCACGTACTCCGCTGTACTCGGCCGTATTCGAGCGGTGCTCACACAAAAACACAACCCCGGACCCAAGACGCACAAGCACAGACAGTCGAGAAGGGAGAGACAGCAACGACAGTCAGCAGTCAGCGCTGGGCCCCAGGAAGGCGAATGCGATGACAGCCTCTAGTGCGAGCTCTAGACTAGTGAGCTCGTACGCACGCGGGCAGATCGCCACTATTTAGCCAGCGGTGTTCACCGCACGGACGGCGCTCTGAGGACACGGCACAACACCGCACTCCCCCCGTGAGGACCACAGCCTTCACACCGCAGCCTTCACACCGCAGCCTTCACACCGCAGCCTTCACACCGCAGCCTTCACACCGCAGCCTTCACACCGCAGCCTTCACACCGCAGCCTTCACACCGCAGGCCGCCGAGCCCAAGCGCGACCCGGACCCCGCCCGGGTGCGTCTCGCCGCGCTCTCCGCCTGCGCAGTCTCGTCCACCCGCGCAGAGGCCGGAGCGGGGCTGCCCAAGCTGCTCTACGCGAAGAGCCGCTAGCGCGCTCCCCCGGGGGGCGGTCTCCGGGCCGAGGGAGGCTCGCCCGGCCCAGCCTCTTGCTCGCCGGACACCGCGCGAGTGCGCCATCGTTGCCGATGCTCAATGGACAATGCAGCACATAGGTTCCGTGCGTCTTGCGAGCCGCAGAGCTTGCGACGCGTGCTCTTGCGTGTTCAAGGCGCGAGAGCACTAGTTATTCTACAGCAAAGTTGGGGCGTCATAATTTCTAAGAGTTAACGGAAGAAGAATTTCACAAGAATGTAAGCTGTAAGGTTTTGCGTTGCGCGCGCGCATGTGTGTTGTGGGGTGGTGTGCGGGGACCGGGGTGTGTGAGCTGTGAGAGTGCTGCGCGTTGTGCGCGTGTTGCGTGTTGTTGTGCGGTGTCGGTGTGTGGGCGGTGGGCGCAATGTGTGTGTGGGGGGGGGGGGGGGGGCACTGAGAGAAGGCCAGACCCGCAGCTCGCTCCCGCCATGCGATGCGCCCACGCTCGCCGCCCGCCGACGCCCCTCGGCCTCACACCGCCTGCTCCCTCCGTTCGCAGGTTGAGCTTGAGGCCCCGCCATCGACACGAGCCGCGAGACGCGTCCGCTGCTGCCCATTCACCACCCTTGCCCCGCGCGAGCCCACCATGCGCACCTCCTTTCAGCTCGCCCGCCGTCGCCTGCGCGCTCGCAGATCCAAAACAACGAGGGCGAGGGGAGCACCGCGGCTTCTTGCGTGCTGGGCCTCAAGCTGCGTGCGCTGCGAGTAGGTGCGGCCCTCTTGCCCCCCCCCTTCCTCTAGTGCCCCCTCAAAGACGCTCTCAGAGCAGAGAGAAGCAGCACTTCTTGATGCCCGTGCACGATGTGCTGCAATCAGCCGAGGGAGATTGCCTGAGGTTACCCGAGATCGCTTGCCTTCCGGGCATGCGCATGGCACCTCCGCACCTCTTTGTGGCCAGAGTTCATCACTCGCATTACAACCCTATTGGTACGATAGTGAACGTCGGCATCGTGCCGGCCAACGGCCTCATCAAGATTGTCTTGTCCGAGTCGAAGTCGTCCTCTCTAGGGTACCGAAACTCAGACCCCCCCGCCGCCCTTCTCGTTTTTCGTGCCGATCCGTTCTCGCCGGCACCCCATATTGCCCTATCCCGGCTCACCAGGTACCCGAGCTCACAATTCTCTTCGCCTGCGGCGCGCGCTTGTCACTTTCCAAGTCTGCGGTGTTCTGAGTGGAGTGGATGGAGGCGTGTGTGCGTCTTGCGTAATCCGGCAAATCGTTGATTTTTACGTACCAGGGTAGCTCGTCAATCCCGTCAAGTTGCACCCCCGCCCAGGCCACAGCCGGCAGATCAGGCGCCGATGCGGGTTGAGGACGCATACGCCGTCTTGCGCCTCCCGCGCCGTGCCGACGAGGACGAGGTCAAGCGTGCGTACCGAAAGCTCGCGCTGCAGCACCATCCCGACAAGAATCCGGGTGACGCGACGGCCACGGCGACGTTTCAGCGCATCCAAGACGCATACACCCGAATCCAGGCGCACCGTAGTGACGTCGGCCTGCCGCCGCTCTCAACCTAGCCTGCAGCCGCCCCGCCACCGTCGCCGCCGCCCCATTCCCGCCCTCGCAGGAGCACTACGAGGCTGGCGCCGACACAGAAGAGGAAGAGGAGCAAGAGAGGCAGCAAGAGAGGCAGCGGCAGCAAGAGAGGCAGCGGCAGGAGTTCTGGCAGGAGAGGCAGCACCGACAGGAGGAGGCGGAGGCGGAGGCGGAGAGGCAGCGGCAGCGGCAGCGGCAGCGGCAGCAGCAATCAGGGCAGCGGCTCAAGGAGCGCGCCGCCGAGGCTTTTCGCGCCAAGAAGTTTGCCCACGCCGTCAGCCTCTACGGGCAGGCGATGAACAAGTTTGGCCGCGACATCGTGTTGCTCTCGAACCGCTGCGTGTGCTACTGGAAGCTGGGCCAGTACGACATGGCCATGCGCGACGCGCACGAGTGCCTGCAGATGAACCCGCGGTGGCATAAGGCGCTGGCCCGCCGCGCCCTCGTGCTAGCGGCGATGGGCGACCACGCCCAGGCTGCCGTGCGCTACGACGAGGCGGCGAGCGGAGACGCGCTTGACGAGGAGGACGCGCGGGAGTTGCCTACCTTTCGCAAGGCTTACCGCCAAAAGGCGGATGAGGAGCGGCGGCAGGCGTGCAACGCGAGGGAGGCAGAGAGGGCGCGAGAGGTGATGGAGGAGGCGAGGAAGCGTGAGGAGCAGAGGCAGAGGCAGGCGACAGCCACGGCGCGGCTGCGGGCGGCGCTGGATGAGCTTGCGGAGCAGCGGAGGGTGGTCTTCCCGGTAGACTCGTCCGGCCTAGCAAATTGCGTGAAGGCCGCCGAGCGCATTCGAGCTTCCGCGCCGCCTCCGCATGACGCGGAGTTTGAAGCTGTGCTGACGGCGGCAAAGGCGCAGCTCGCGGACGTCGCGATTGTCGCGCGAGCGTCCGAAGAAGCTCGAGAGCGAGAGCGCGCCGCCAGAGAGCTGGAGGCCGCCCTCGAGCAGGGGCCGCTTTTGACTCGGTCGGCGCTCAAGCGCGCCATCCGGCGTGCCGAAGAGGCGGGCGTCGGAGCGGGCATCGGAGGGATCGTGTCAGGCGAGGAGCTGCTGCAGCACGCGAGGGAGCAGCTGCAGCGCTGGAACGCGGACAAGCGCGAGCGACGGGCGGACGACGAGCGGGCGCGGTGCGAGGCTGTGGAGCGTTCGCAGCGTGAAGCCGCGGAGGAGCGGCGCCGGCGAGCAGCGGCTGCCCCTGCGGTCGAGCGCCGGCGTGAGGCTGCCGCTGCCTTTGCCGCTGCTGCCTCTGACGCTACCACCGCTACTGCTGCTGCCGCTGCCGCAGATGAGGAGCGCGCGCGACGCGAGGCCGTCGAACGCTCCAAGCGTGAAGCCGCGGAAGAGCGGCAGCGCCGGCGTGCGGCTGCCGCTGGCACCGCCGCCGTTGGGTCAAGCAGTGCAGGGGCTGATCCCACTGAGGGGGCGACGGCGGCGGCAGCGGCGGCGGCGGCGGCAGCGGCGGCCAGCCGAGCAGAGGCTGCCAAGGCGGAGGCCGAAAAGGCTGCGGCCGTTGCGAGGAAGGCAGCTGTGGAGAAGAAGGCAGTGTTGGGGGTGGGCAAATTCCGCGCAGCGCTGGCCACCGCCGGTCTCCAGGCGCAGGCGGAGACGCTATGTAAGCGCCTTCCAGAGCTACTGAAGGCTCTCGACGGCCCGCCGCACAACCTCAACAATGTGCTCAAGGAGGCAGACGTCTGGCAGAAGTACCTTCAGGACAAGGTCGAGGCGGCGCTAAAGGCGATGCTGCAGGACAGCGACAGCGATACTGACGACAACGGTCTGGATCGCGCCGATTTCGACTCAAACAGCTGCCGCGCAGAGTGGCAGAGAGTCAGGCCGCCTCCGGCTTCGTCGGCTGCCATCCCGTCAGACGCCACTCCGCCCGCTGTCATTCCGTCGGCCGCCGCCGCTTCGGCCGCCACCGCCTCGGCTGCCGCCACCGCTTCGGCCGCCACCGCCTCGGCTACCGCCACCGCCTCGGCCGCCACCGCCTCGGCTGCCTGCTCCTCGGCCGCCGCCGCCTCGGCTGCCGGCAGCCCCTCGGCCGCCGCCGCCTCGGCTGCCGGCTCCTCGGCCGCCGCCGCCTCGGCTGCCGGCTCCTCGGCCGCCGCCGCCTCGGCTGCCGGCTCCTCGGCCGCCACCGCCTCGGCTGCCGGCCCCTCGGCCGCTGCCGCCTCGGCTGCCGGCGCCTCGGCTGCCGGCGCCTCGGCTGCCGGCCCCTCGGCCGCCGCCGCCTCGGCTGCCGGCGCCTCGGCCGCCGCCTCATCGTCGGGCCCGGCGGGCGGCTTCATTGTCGGCGAGCGGGTTTACTGGATATGCAGCGACGACCTCCGAGCTTGGTACGGCGACGAGGGTACGGTGGAGGGATATCGCAGGCTGTATGATGGCTCAGACGTGCTCTGGGTTCGATTTGGCATCTTTCAGTTGATTTCAGTCAACCCCGCCGATGAGGTTGCCAAGCTCAGCCGCGAGCCGCCCCCGCCACTGCCTGGCTGTCTGCTTTTCGACCTTCTCAGCCGAACGTCACCTACGCAGCGGTCTGGCGCGGCTCCGTCAGCTGCCACCCCGTCAGACGCCACCCCGCCGGCTGTTGCGGTTGCGACGGCAAAGAAGGAGCGCACCGACCCCGAGCCGTCCAACTCGATCTTCCTGGGCAACCTTTCGTGGAAGATCGAGGAGGAGACCGTGCGCGCCGCCTTCAAGGACTGCGGCGCCATCTCGCGCATCAAGTTGGTGGAGGAGAACGGCGATTTCCGCGGCATCGCCTTCGTCGACTTTGAGTCGGTCGAGGCGGCGACCAAGGCGGTGGCGCTCCACGGCGTCGACCTGGGCGGCCGGCCGGCGCGCATTAACTTCTCCAAGCCGCGCGAGCCGCGGCCAGCCGACCCGAACAAGCCGCAGCGCACCTTCAAGCCGCAGAAGGAGAAGCCGGACGGCTGCGTCGAGCTCTTCCTCGGCAACCTGCCGTGGTCGATCGACGGCGACAAGATCACGAGCTTCTTCAAGTCGGCGGGCACCGTGACCAGCGTGCGGTGGCTCAAAGACCGCGAGACGCAGGAATTCAAGGGCGTCGGGTGGGTCACCTTCAGCTCCACGGAGGAGGTCGACAAGGCGGTCGAGCTCGCGGGCGAGTCCATCGACGGCCGGCAGATCCGCATCGACTTCGCGGTCACTTCGTCGGCTGCCGGCGACTCGCCCGCCGACGACTCGGCTGCCGGCGCCTCGGCCGCCACCGCCTCGGCTGCCGGCTCCTCGGCCGCCACCGCCTCAGCCGCCGGCTCCTCGGCCGCCGCCGCCTCGGCTGCCGGCTCCTCGGCCGCCGCCGCCTCGGCTGCCGGCAGCCCCTCGGCCGCCGCCGCCTCGGCTGCCGCCGCCTCGGCCGCCGCCGCCTCGGCTGCCGCCGCCTCGGCCGCCGCCTCATCGTCGGGCCCGGCGGGCGGCTTCATTGTCGGCGAGCGGGTTTACTGGATATGCAGCGACGACCTCCGAGCTTGGTACGGCGACGAAGGTACGGTGGAGGGTTACCGGGCGGTGACGGGGATGGTTGGGGGCAAGCTGTATGATGGGTCCACAGCGCTCTGGGTTCGCTTTGGCATCAATAATTCAATTTCACTCAACCCCGCCAATGAGGTTGCCAAGCTCAGCCGCGAGCCGCCCCCGCCACTGCCTGGCTGCGATCTTGCTCCACTGGCTGGCGGCTTCCACGCTGGCGACGTCGTGTACTTTCTTGGGGAGAACCAGTCCTTCAACGGCGTCGAGCTCGTGCGGGGGCGACGGGGCGTCGTGGCCGGACCTTCCCTCGCGACCGCCCCGGTTGCCGGACTCTCAGTCCGCTTCGACGGTATCAGCACCAGCTTTGCATGCCCCCTCGACCTTCTCAGCCGAACGTCACCTACGCAGCACGCCGAAAGCATCGATCGGGCGTGGGACGCCGAGAGCGTCGCTCGGGCGTGGGTTCAGGAGGCGGACGCGGCGCGCGGCGAGGCCGAAGAGCTCGCAGGCAGCCGCGCTGGCGCCGAGGCGGCCTCGCCGCGCCTCACTCCGTCGGCCGCCACCGCCTCGGCCGCCACCGCCTCGGCCGCCACCGCCTCGGCCGCCACCGCCTCGGCCGCCACCGCCTCGGGCCCGGTGGGCGGTTTCAGTGCGGAGGCGGCTTCAGTGCGGAGTGAGGCGCGTGCGGAGGCGGCAGAGGCGGCGCTGAGAGAGTGCCAGAGGGAGGCGCGTCACGAGGAGGCGATGGCGTGTGTGCGGGCGGTGTCGAGGCGCTGCATCGACGAGGCGAGAGAAGCGGCCGACGCGGCGACACGCGCGGCCGACGAGGCGAGGGCAGCCGCCGAGCTCGCGGCGCGCAAGGCGGAGACGAAGATCGGCAACCTGACTCGCGAGCTGCAGGCGTCTGCAGCCCAGGCCTCCACCTCCGCCGCCGCCATCGCCAGTTTGCAGGAGGAGCGAGCGAACCTGACGGCCCAGCTGGCCGACGCAGAGGCAGCGGCCCGCGCGTTGAGGGCAGAGAATGCAGGTCTCGTTTCGTCGGCAGCGGCAGCGGCGTCGGCAGCACAGGCGGAGTCGGAAGCGGCAGCAGAAGCGGCAGCGGCAAAGGCGGACGCGGAGGCGCGCGTCGCCGCTGCAAACGAGGCTGAAGAGCGATCTGCGAGGGAATGCGCCGAGGCGAGGAGGGGGGAGGCGGCTGCGAGGGCTTTGGCCGCCGACGCGGAGCGCGACGCGAGCCGGTCGAGGGAGGCTGAGGCGGCTGCGGCGATTCGCTTGCGGAGGGTGCAAGGCGACGCGTCCGAGATCGCGGGGCTGAATCAGGACGAGCTGGCCGCCCTCGAGAGCGCGGTGGACGCTTCCCTCGCGCGCATCCGGCAGCGACGGCTGGAGGAGGCGGCGGAGAGGCTGGAGGCGGCCCAGTCGCAGCAGCAGTGCATCATCTGCGAGAGTGCTCTCCGCGACACGATGTTCATGCCGTGCGGCCATTTGCTTGTGTGCCAGGGGTGTGCCGCTCGCCCGCAGCTGCAGGAGCGGTGCCCAATGTGCTCAGGCGAGATCGCGCAGCGCGTTCGCGTCTTTTTTGGGTAGCGGGGGTTAGCGCATAGCGGGCGGCGCGCGTCTCTCTAGGACTAGGTGCTGCGGCTTTGGCTGCACGCACGTCATGTGCAGTAGCCAGTACGTCAAAAAAGTACTCGGGTGTTGTACGTTTCCATAGAGTACAAAGAGCCTTCGATCGATACTCTAATCTCCGTAATAGTTAGAGTGCGCAGGCCGGCCCGTTGCTGCATGTTTGCATAAAAAACGCCTGTCTGTTGGTGTTGCGCTCAGCGCTGCGCGCGCGCGCGCGCGCGCCGCGGGGCCCTGTCTCACGTGCCGCAAAATATGTGTCACACACGGCGGCTTCTGCCACCTCTCGATTGGTTCCACTTTCTACGCACACCTACCGGGGAAGGGGCGCTTGGGAGCGGGGGCGGGGGCGGGGGCGGGGGCGGGGGCGGGGCGGGGGCGGGGGGCGCGCAGCGCGCGCGCGTGTGCGCAACAGAGGGTGTAGGGGTGGGGAAGACGGCGAGGAGGGAGCGGCGGCGGCGGCGGCGGCGGCGGCAGTGCGCGCGCGGCGCGCGCGACGGAGGGGCGGAGCAGCGACCGCTCGCGCCCCGCACTCGGGCCAGCGCAGGAGCCAAGCCAGGAGGGGCTCTGTTCTCGGGCATGAACACTATATTCCGCCACCATGGCGGCGCGCGCGTTTTATCCGCGCGCGATATTAGTAGAATCAAACTTGTGTGGTTGTTTTGGATCAAACTTGTAACAGCACTCTCTGACGCGATGCGGCCTCTGCCTAGCCTCCTGTATGCGGGAGCTATGGCGGGACCGCTATCGAGTACGCTCTCCAAAAAGGGGCACCGAAAAGAGGGGGGGGGGGGGGGGGGCAAGTTCGACAGAAACGGGGCCCAATCGAATCGGGTCACAGAATGATGCACATCCCCGACTTGGGCTTATCCGATGTTGGCTCCTCCTCGGAGGATGCTTTGCCACCGCCACGGTTCTTGCCCCTGGCGTCCTCCTTCAAAGCTAATCGCTTGCCTTTGCTGTCGGCTGCAGCCTGGTTGCGGAGTTTCGGACTCTCGGGGGTGTGGTAGAATTTTTCCAGCACCTGCGTGAACTGAAAGGTGTCGCCCCCCGTTTTGGCCGCGGGATGGAGGGGGCGTAGTTCTTCCTCTCGCGGCCCCCTTTCATGTCGGGTCTTCCCCTCTCGCGGGCGCGCGGGGGGGGGAGGGGCGTGGGCGTGGGCGCCGCGGCGCTCACGGGCTCTCCGCATGCCCACCAGCGCGCCTGTAGCTGCGTAGCGCCCTCTTTGTAGCGGCGCATCCGCTGCAAAGCAATCAGGCGCCGTGCGAGCGCCTGATGGGTAAACAAGGATGACCAGGTGGGCTCGAGGGAGGAAGAGGAGAGGGTTTCTTCAGCTCGCCTGGACATGGATGGCGAGCTCCACCCGTCGGTCGCGCAAGCGCTTCTCCTCCAGCTCGTGGGGCGAGGCGAGGCCGGGGTCGTCGGCACCGCCTTGGAGCAACCAAGGCAGCTGCTTCGCCGCAATCTTGCCTGCACGGTGCCTGTCGAGCCAATTGAAGAGACCATCGACGTCCTGGCGGTGCCCAAAGCTCGACAAGCCCAACAACAACACCGCGTGCGCAAACGCCTTGCGGCCAAGGTAGCCCGAGCCGCCCTCGTCGATGGCGGTGAAGACTGCCCACGCGTGCTGCTGGTGGCGCTCAACCTCACCTCGCATCCACGACTTCATTTGGTCGAGGGTGAGCGTCTGGTCGAGTGGCAGCCAACTCGGACCATCAGGCCGTGGAGAGGCGCCACGCGGCGTAGACTCGATGCCCATCGTCTGGGCGCGCCGGCGAGAGAGGAGAGCGCGAAAATGGCGCGCCGCCTCGTCGGCCGCCTCCTCAAGGATCCCGACGCGCAGCTGGCGCTTGGCAGCGATCGACTCGAGCTGAATCCCCTCCTTTGCCGCGCGGACGAGGTACCCGACGAGAGCCTCGCCCATCGCGTTCGTGTCCTTGGGCTCACGGGGAGGTTCCGCGTGCGGCGTGCCTCGGCCGGCGAGGAAGGGCTTTAGCGCGTTCCGAGCGCGAGTGATTTGACCCGTGAGCCGATTGATCTCGGCCTGCGCCTCGAACTGGCCCTTTTTCCACCCCTTGACGCTCGCCGCAATCTCAGCCTTCTTTGCGCCGTACGCGTCCTGCGTCACCGTCGGCTTCAGCGCGCGCCGCGCGTCCTCAATCTCGTCCTCCCGTGCCTCGATGCCATCGGTGACGAGCGAGAGGTCGCTGTTCAGGCCTTTTAGCCGCTTTCTTGCGAAGGCTTGCTCGTTTGCAAGGCGCTGCAGCGTGTGTCGCACCTCCTCGAACGACCGAAGCTGCTGCTCCATCGCCGCGTTCCGACTCTTGAGCTGGCGCAGCTCGGCCTCCGCCGGACTCTCGTCGTTGCCGCCTCCGTTACCTTGCGGCCGTCCCGGTCGCGGCGACGAGCATGGGCTTGCGCTCGTCACGGCCTGGGCACCGCCGCCACCGCGGGGACGCGGCGCCGCCTTTTGCTCCCGTATGCGCTTCTCTGCCGCTGCGACCTGCCGCCTCAGCCGATCACGAGCGGCGCGCGACTCGGAGAGCCGTCGCCGCGCTGCGCTCTCGTCTCCGCTCCTCCCGCCCGCCCCGCTCCCGCTGCCCCGCTCCCGCTCCCTCATGGCATTCAGCTCGGAGGCTTCCCGCTCGACCAAGAGCCGCAGCTTTGACAGCGCCTCGGACTCGCTCCGAGCGTCTGAGGCTGCCAGCTCGGCCTGATCTCGGATGCCCTCGAGGCGGGCGATGACCATCGACGCATCCTCCTCCTGTGCGCGCTCGACCGGCGAGAGGGGCGCCGCTGCAAACGTCTCTGGCAGAGCGGGCACAAACTCTCCCGCCGCGTGGATTTGAGCCTGCGTCAGCAGCGCGACCACTGACGCGTGGCCGCCAGCTGTAGCCGCGCTTAGCGGATCCCTGCCCGCGCGGTCCGCGAGCCGGGCGTCTGCTCTTGCGCCCAGCAGCAGCCGTGCGCTGTCGGTGTCACCGACGCCACACGCTGCGAGGAGCGGGGTTGCGCCTTCAGCATCACGCACGTCCACGTCCACGCCTGCACTCAGCCTGTGGTGGAGGCGGGACGAAGGCCGTTGCGAAAGAGTGGGCATGGGCGGGGCCCGGGTGGACGGTGCGGCGCTCACAGCAGCTCGACGCACGGAGCGAAGCCGAGGATGCACGCGCATTGCAATGGCGTTGCACCAGTCGTGTCGGCAGCGTTCACATCAGCCCGGGCGTCGATAAGCCCCTCGACACAGCGAGCGTGGCCGCCAAGGCAGGCTGCGTGGAGCGGCGTGCCGCCGTTGCCTGCCCGTGGGTCGACTGCCGCGCCTGCCCGGAGCAGCACGCTCGTACACGCTGCGTGGCCCTTGATGCAAGCAGTGTGCAGCGGCGAAGCGTCGTTCTGATTCGCCACATCGAGCTCTGCCCCCTGCAGCACAAGAAGGCGCAGCACCTCCAAGTGGCCGCCCTCGCACGCATAGTGCAGTGCCGTCTGACCGCCCTCGTCCTGAGCGTCTGGATCGGCGCCGAGGGCAAGAGCCTCTCCGAGCGCGGTCGCGTCGCCCATGGTTGAGGCATATAGCAAAGAAGCCCTGGGGTCCGTCGCTACATCCGGCTGCAGCTCCGGGAGGCGAGTGGCTGAGTCCGCAGCGCCTCTTTGCTGGCCGCCTCCATGCGCCATCCTCCCGTCTGTGCCGCTGCCCTGGGCTCCCCGGGCGGCTGCACGCTCGGAGTCGCTGCGGCTGCTGATCGGCGGTGGGGTGCGTAGCCCACCCGCCTTTGCCTCCCACGCGTGGCTAGGCGCCTGGCGCGTCGGCAGCGCCACCGCGGCCGTTCCACCATCCGCTGGGTCGCCTCGGCCTTCACTTGGTGAAGGGGCCTGCCGGGTGGGCCATGACAGGGAGACGTCGCTCGGCTCGTCGAGCCGCGCCCGAGCTTTTGCGTCGGCCGCAATCTTTCCGGCCGTCTGCTTAGCCTTGTTCCCGAACTTGGTGAGCGACGCGAGTCCCGACTGAACCCTTTCGTCACCCATGACCTGTGCGCCGAACCGCTTCGCCTTGCCCATCGCCTCGGCGCCCACCACGATTCCGGCCCCAGCCAGGTCGGTGGCCCGGTCGCCAGCGGCGTTGGCCATCGAGCGCATCTCCGCGCGTCGTGCGTTGGAGTTCAACTCCTCGTGGTCTCCGTCCAACTCCTCTCGTGCCTCGGATGCCTCCCAAGCACGGCGTGGGCCACCCTCATCCAGGGTATCAATTCGCGCCCGAGCATCGGCAGCCATCTTTGAAGCAGTCCGTTTGGCCGACGCACCGATACGAGCGAGCGAGGCGACGCCCGATTGCACTCTCTCATCGCCCATGACCTGTGCTCCGAGCCGCTTTGCCTTTCCCATCGCCTCAGCACCGACCACGATTCCTGCCCCAGCCAAGTCGGTGGCCCGGTCGCCGGCAGCGTTGGCCGCTGCGCGGGCCCTGTCGAGCGCCGCGTCAGTCTCGCCGTCGCCAGCGTCCTCGTGCGCCGGCTTGCGCCCGAATCGTCTGGCCATTGGCAGCACACGCGAGCAGTAACCGCTGCTGCGGGTGGGGGGGAAGGGACCCCGGCGGTGGAATAACTAAGGCGGATAAGGGGGAGAGGGGAGGGGAAGGGGAGGGGGTGTCGATCTCGATTTCTTCAAATTTTATGTAACGGCCGGCTGCACCCCTCGGCCGCACTTATGGCGTGCTCCGACGCCTGCCCCGCCATGCCGGGGTGGGCAGGCGATGGCTGGTGCGACGACGGCGGGTCAGGCTCGCAGTACAGCTACTGCGCCTGGGGCACGGACTGCACGGACTGCGGAGTGCGGGGCGGTCCGGCCCCGCCCGCACCCTCGCCAGATCCAACGCTGCCGATCTGCGTCGGCCGCTGCGAAGCCGGCGTCCGTTGTGGCATCTGCCTCGACCTGCTGCCGCGGGAAGAGTGCCCCAACGTGCCAGGCTACAACCTTCTCACGCAGTGCTACGCGTACCCTCTCGGGCCTGCTCTGGGCGAGCTCTGCCGTGGTTTTGGCGAGTGCGGCACCGACGTGAACCACAACAACTGCCCCTACCTCTCCAGCACCGGCATCACCAGGCGTGAGGTGTACAGAAGACGCGCGTGCCGCCTTGCAGCGCCGCCGCCTCCGCCGTCGCCTCCGCTGCCGCCGCTGCCGCCTGCGGCTCCGCCGCTTCCTCCTCTGCTGCCGCTGCCTCCCCAGCCGCCGCCCGCCGAGCCGGCACCGCTGCTTCCGCCGCCGGCGTTGCCATCGCCACCTTCGCCGCCTGCGACTTGCGGCGCCAATGAGTGCGACGCCGGCCGCAGCTGCGGACTCTGCCTGCGGCTGGTTCCGCACCTCTCCTGCCCCGACTACGGCGCCCTCTCGACGCTGCGAGACTGCTC